ACTAATGCCCAGTAGGCATTACTTTATCTTATTATCTTATTTATCTTGTTTTATCTTATTTAATCTTAACCCTTAAACTACACACTATCTATGAGGGACATTCAATAATTAAAGAGACAAATTGATGTAGAAAAAAACTGTATTTTTACAAAATGATACTTTTACTACTTCTCAACATAATCCCCACCAATATTAATATACTTGTCTCAATCGATGAATGAACTAGTTTTTTTATACTAGAGATGCAAAGAAGTCTTTGTCTTGTTGTTTGAGCCACTTTCCCACAAATTGTTTAACTCCTCGTTGTTGCTGAACTTTTTTCCTCGCAATGCCTCCTTGAGTGGACCAAACAAGACAAAGACTTCTTTGCATCTGGTATAAAAAAACTAGTTCATCGTTGGGACAAGTATATTAATATGGGTGGGGATTATGTTGAGAAGTAGTAAAAGTATCATTTTGTAAAAATACACAGTTTTTTTCTACATCAATTTGTCTCTTTAATTATTGAATGTCCCTCGTATTTGAGACATACGCTACACATGGGGTCAATCTAACCCCCGCTAGTTTAAAGAATTGCTGCAATGATACTATTCATTTTTTGATGTTGTAAAAAATTAGACATGTTATATTAACATTAACAAGTAGGATAAATTTGGTCCGAGCTATAAATAATGATTGCAATAATTTAAAAAAATTAAAATGTAGAAAGAAGCTCAGAAAATGCCGTTTTTTTTACTTAAAATTCAATAACTTTTTCATTTTTTAATATTTTAACCTAAAAATTTAACTGGATACTCTTGAAACAATGTTCTTTAAGATAAAAACAATTTAAACAATTGCAATAGTGCACATTCCAAAAAAGGTATTTACTTTGACAACCGAAGGTGTGATATTTCGGAAAAATTGAAGGCACATTTTTACTGGTCATTGCAATAAAAATTAATTATATTATTTGTCTTTTGCGTGTAAAATGTTTTTTTACAAAATATATGATAAATAAAGGTTGAATAAATTTTTTAATACAGCATCTGGCGTATGCTCCGAGTTTTCAAATTATACGCCTATCTAAAAGTATTATAATTTATGTTATAACTAATTTAAAAAAATCACAGTATGTATTTAAATTAAAATTTACATTTTTCTAGTTGAAATGCAGTAAAATTGAACAAAAAAATTATGAAAAAATTCCCAATATTCGTACACTACACAGGGGGTCAGATTGACCCCAGCGTTTTGAAGCGTCTACTTTGAACGGCTGTCACTAGTCAACTAGCACCTTGGGACCCACAACTAATGTGTAGTCTTAAAAAGGAAGACTTCAACTAACAACAAATGGCGCCATAAGTCCCAACTTCACATTTTATATAGGAGATATTTAAACGCAAACTTTTGTTGGGGTCTCCTGGACCCCGGGTGTAGTTTAAGGGTTAATTAATCTTATTTTATCTGTATAATGCCCCAGCGAGGCCTAATGCCCAAAACAATGCCTAGTAATACCCAGTAATGCCACAAATCTGTACACTACAATGCCCTCAGCGGTTTACCCCTCGGTAGAAACATTGAAAAATGATAATAATGTTGCAAAAATTTTCACCGAGGTGGAAACCGCTGACCAAAATCGTACACTAATGCCCAGTGGGCATTACTTGATCTTATTATTTTATTTTATCTTATTTATCTTGTTTTATCTTATTTTATCCTTATAATGCCCCAGTAAGGCCTAATTCCCAAAAAATGCCTAGTAATGTCTAATAATGCCCAGTAGTGCAGCAAATCTGTACACCACAATACCTTCAGCGGTTTCCCCCTCGGTAACAATGTTTTGTTATTATAAAGATGTTACTAAAGATTAATATCTTTAACAACAAAGCGTTTGTTACGTGAAGAAAAAGTAATGCTGCATTAACAGCGTTACATACATCACATCAATGAATTACATACACGTATATCAGAAAAATAAAAATATGTACACCTACGCACATACAATTTGCAAACTTTATTGAAAAGAACTAGCAGGAATAGTAGGTACGTTTTACAATAAAACTCCTGCAAAATTAGATTAGCAACATTTAGCTTCTTGGAGATTCCAGCGTAAGCTGGCATGGCACGTGGACTTTTACTTGGTCGCAAATGGTGTAACGATCGATTTATCTTTGATTGTTCGCAGCGCCGGCATGGAAGCGACAAACGGCGCGATCGAGCACGACTTCCACAACACGTTAGTGCCGATAAATGGTAGCCATTCGGGCAGCTCTGGCAGGAGTACGCCGAACGGCAGCGACCCAGCGCCGGGCAAGCTCTTCGTGGGCGGCCTTTCCTGGCAGACGAGCAGCGACAAGCTGCGGGAGTATTTTGGCATGTTCGGCACCGTCACCGATGTCCTTATCATGAAGGATCCGATGACGCAGGTCGGTCTACTTATCTGACAATGAGCATAACTCTCGACTTGCTCGCCCGATCAATTACGATTACTTATTGTACGAGGCTGTTCTCGTGCGATACCATTCGCTGAGCTAATAAGTTGATCGTGCCTGTATCTCTCGTTTCCATCGGTCACGTTCCGATAATACTTTAAAGCCGCGTTAACCGAGAGGATGCGAGCTTTTATCCAATTTAAACTTGTCTAACAATAAGTAGATTTTCTAATCGCCTTTTCTAATTCAATGTTTCTCAGTTTATTCAGCACCTACCTGCCTTTTAAATGCTTCGTGTATACAATTTATATGATTGGAAATCTATTTCCGATTTTCTACCAGTTGAACGTTCCGTCATTGGCAAAACGTCGGGTATGATTAATTTGTGTTATCGAATTTACGATGAGAACAGCCTCGTATATTGCCCACGCGTTTCCAAATCGCGTTCATGCCGCGCCAGTTGATTTACCATAACGGTTTTCGACCGACCCTCGTGCATCGTGGGGGGTCGGCCGCGAAGATGTCGCGAGAGAAAGGAGTTTACCTCGACAGGATTCGATGCACCAAGCAATCTCTCCTTCCACTTTTGCACGAAACTATATACCGTAGTAGACCGTAGTAGATGAGAAGTTGTACTAATCGGTGTAATTAATTGCTGATAAAGTATCAAGAGAAGTAGATTGTATTAGGTATATTATTAATCGCATTAATTGCATTATATATTAAAAGAAGGTGGGAGAGGCAGCATTTTCGTTTTTTTTTCTTCTTTCATCGGATTTACGGGCGGTAAATGTCGAATGCGGGTGTAATATCGGAGATTTCGTGAACGAGAGTGGGTGGGACAGACGTAATACGTATACATATGCATATACATATATACATATATTTGTATGTATGTATGTGTATGTGTATGTGTGTATGTATATATATATAATTATATATATATTTCAGTAGCTCCTTAACGTTCGTAATGGATTTGAGTCTTATCGCAGTCTTTGTTTCACGTAACATTAGAATGTTTGTCTTAAACATTGGCTTGGACAGTCTTGCATGCAAATGGTAGTTTGGTAGCACTAGTTAACCGTTTATAACAAGAGCTACGAGAAATCACCGAAGGCAGGATTATTAAAGATCAGGATAGTTTTGCAGTTAAATGAGATAAAGCGTTTTTATATTCCGAATTGAACACGCAACGTTAAGGGAAGACGAACGGATCAGTTTTGGTGACCATTCGAGCGAGCTAGAGACGAACGAACGTGCTGTAAATTGCTGAAAAACGTGTGGCATTTTATTCGCAGTAATTCGATAGATTGTCAGCATTGTTCGAACGCGATTAAATCGTGAAAGGTTTTCTTGAGAAGTGGTCATGAAAACTCGTCCTAAGCATCTAGCGGTCTTGCAATAACCGAACGAAGGCGAATAAACACGGTATCCCTCGATCGAGTTGCAAAAGTCAGTCGGATGTCAGAGCGTTCGATCGCGAGGGCGAGAAACAATCGCAACGAAAGAGGGAGGCACGCAATAGACGGTCCTTGTGCATCGTGCCGGTTCTCGGCTTGTTCGGTTACAGCGTAGCCGCGGTTTCGGCTTCATCACGTTCGCCGAGCCCGGTAGCGTTGACAAAGTCCTCAAGTGTCCCATCCACACCCTGGATGGCAAGAAGATCGATCCGAAGCACGCGACGCCGAAGAATCGCGCGAAACAGGCCAATCGCACTAAGAAGATCTTCGTGGGTGGTGTCAGTCAGGACACCAGCAGCGACGAGGTCAAGTCCTACTTCAATCAATTTGGGAAGGTGGAGGAGACGGTGATGCTGATGGATCAACAAACGAAACGTCATCGCGGCTTCGGCTTTGTCACCTTCGAGAACGAGGACGTGGTGGACCGCGTGTGCGAGATACACTTCCACACGATCAAGAACAAGAAGGTCGAATGCAAGAAGGCGCAGCCGAAAGAGGCGGTGCAGCCGGGCGCGCTCGCTCTCGGTAAACGGGTAGTGCTCGGCGCTCTAGGCGTGCGGCTCGCGCCGCAGCCGCCGCTGCCGGTCGCGGCGGCGGCCTCGCAGTTGGTTGCCGCGCAGGCACAAGCGGCGCAGGTGCAGGCGGCCGCGGCCGCGGCGGCGGCCGCGCAGGTGCAGATGCGGTCGCGGGATACGGCAAA